TTTAGACTTTCTTAAGATAATTTTTGCAATACGTGATAAAAAGAAAATAATATCAAAATGTACTCTGCTCAACAGAGGTAAAAGGAATTAATGAAAAAGTATAGATAATATAAAAGTGGAAGCACAGCATCCAAATATAAAATACAGATTTTTAACTAAATGAAAACACATGGCACTAACAACACAAAAAATATTACAACAGTACTTTTCTTCCTGTCTAGACAAGCTTCGGAACAACATTATGTGCTAGTTTATAAGGATATGTTAAAAACCGCAAGATTTTATTTAAAGACACTGATCAATGATAACTTAAAACAAATCTACACTTTTGATTCCATGTAAAAATGTATTTTCCTCAAGTTGTAAATTGGAATTTTGAAAATATATAAACAATAACATATATTAACTTTTTAATTAGTTCAAGTACATCAATAAATATGCCTTATTCTTGAAGAAATAGTTTATTCTAAGCAAAATAATGCAATCTTTAATCTAGATTAGATGTTTAAAAAATTATGAATAAACATTTGGCATATCAAATTATGAATAAACATTTGGCATATCACTTGAGATAATCAAAATTTAGTGAAAATTGCTATTAAAATTTTAAGAAAGAAGATTTTTTTAAAATAACTAGTTTTGAAAATGCAATTCTTTTAATACACAACATACACCCCCTCCCCAAATACAGGGAAGAAAAGAAATAGAGAAGAAAAAATCATACACTTATTTAATTGATGTAACTGTATTCAGAGATAATTGGAATTTGCAAAATTCTTTTGGGAATAACAGATTATGTATAGTGACAAGATTTTTAACTGCATGAAACTTTAAATGTTATTTTAAGCATGAAGATATACTAAAAACCAATACTACAAAAGTTCTATCATAAAGGGGGGGGGAATAAAAAAACACTTTTGGAATCAATAATTAAAATTTCAAGTCTTGTCTTTTTTTTTTATAAATTTATTATACATGAAACAATGTTAAATTCAACATCTACTATATTATATAAATTCTCTGTAGGAAAGTATTGAGCTCATTTAAGCATATGAATTCATTCTTTAAATATTTATTTGGCTTCCAACTACAATGAAAACAATCATTCAACTTAATATGCTCAAAAATTAATACAACAAAAGTAATTTACATGAATATTTACCAATTAATTTTATAAATATTAATTTAATTAATTTATATCCTATATGCAAAACAAAGTAGTAATATTGCAAAGCAAAACAGAGAATTATAAAAAAGATTCAAAATGCCAATCTATTATGAGATTAAATGGACTGCTTGATTTACCACTATTCATGTTGTTCTAATATGGGTTTGATAATAACCAACAAAATTTAAAAATTCAAGTAAATTCTTTCCCGCCCTTATCTTATGTCTACTAACATGTAACATTGTTTTCATAGAAATGTGCTAATTATCACACAATTCTAATGTAATTATCATAAAATTATAGACCTGTAATACTATTTTTCAAAATTGATCAAAAATTTAATTGAAAAATAAAATCTATACAGAAATATAATACAGAACACTAATGATACAAATGCTGCATTATTGAGTAGTTTCGTTGTTTTCAGTCACAATATATGTAACAACATGTACAAATACATACATTACACAGAATAAAAAACTTAAAAAGCTAATTCAGTTCTTGTATTTCTCAATATATTATTCTTTTGATATTTTCATTTAATTTTTATGCAACAAGGAGAAATAAAAGTGAATTAAAAGTGCAAAATAAAAGAACTTGAAATTCTATTAAATTAAAAAAAAATACTAATTAGAATACTGATAGTGAAGCAATATTAACTGCATTACAGTAACCAAATTACAAATGCATTTTATGCAATAAAAACTTAACCAACCTCTCCCCCCCCAAAAAAAAAGTTCTCATAGAAAATGACACAGGACCATTTAAAAATAAAAGATAAATATCAACTGAGAGGGATTAAATATGATATTTCAGCCTAGTTTGGATACTTTTAAGTTAGTAACTTTACAGAAATACTTATGATAAATCCTAAATTTTAACATTTCATGCCCATTTAAAAAATATAATGTTTATCTCACTGCAGAAATAAGTATAAACTGGGGGAAAATTTAACATGATATTTCAGCCTAGTTACTTTTAAGTTATTAACCTTCCAAAAATACTTAAACATATGATAAATCCTGAATTTTAACAATTCATAAACATTAAATTATTTAGTATTTATCTGATTGGAGGAAGAGAAAAAAACAGATTAAGAAAAAAGGAAAAGTATTTAAAAAAATAGTGGTTACATGGCAATTTTATATCATAAAGACAATTAAAAATTTATAAAACAAATAACAAATGTCAAAGAATGAAAAACATTCAAGAAAGAAAGATTTCAACAAAACCATACTATGTACAAGATGTAGAAAGGGCAATTTTTTCTTTAGCTCCAATGACGCTAAATTACAGACTAACTTGATATTAAAAGGAAGAAATTTAAAGTAGTGAATGATTTAAATTAGTGATCCAAGCATTATTTTATTTTCAATTTAGGAAGATATTTTAAATGAAAGAAGACAATCAACCGCAGAATATCAATATCAGAAAATACATTATATATATATATATATATATATGAAATGAATTAAGAAAAATCTTAATGAATACACATACTGCTTAAGTGAAAAAAACAATAGCTGTGCTTTAGCAGAAAAAAATTACCATAACTAAATTATATTAAATACTAAAATTATAACCACTCAAAGTATTACAAAAATGCATATGAAAAATAAGTTGAGAACTAGTAAAAACAAATTTAGAACTTAATCAAAAGTGAAGTAGCCTAGGCCAAATGGCCAAAATGTTACAGCAGTCATAAAGACATTATAGAATGTCTTTATGACTAGATTGAACTTTTATGTATAGATTGAACTATTTTTGCTCTCATCACGTGGATGCATAAAAGTAATTCAATTCCTCATTCTAATTAAGTGGTAGGACAGGTCAATGTTTATGATACTATGTAATTTTGAAATTGAAAAAACAAAATAAATGATTAATTCAGAACAACTGCATAAGATCTTCATCCCCTACGGTGGTGCTATGCAACTATTCTGGGATGATGGCATGCGTTTTGAGTTAATTGCTTTCACTTTTATTTATTTCTCTTTGTTACATTCTATAATGTTCATTATGTACAATTGCTATGGTTTATAAATGTGTGAAAAGCACCATTAATAATGTGTACTAATTTTAGAGAAACATGTTTAGCTTATGATTTTGCATAACTATAAACAAAAACATGAATTTTTTGCATTTAGTTTTTAGAAAAATTAAATGAAAATATCAAAAGAATAATATATTGAGAAATACAAGAACTGAATTAGCTTTTATTTTATTTTTTCAGTTTGAAAATTGCATAGTACCAGTGATCTCTCTTGCCAATTTATTACAATGAGCAATTGAATTATTTTTGTTCATCCCTGTGAGGAAAACAAAAATAGTTCAATTTGACTGTTCTAACATTTTGGACACTTAGCCTAGACTACTTCATTTTTACTAAAGTTCTAAATTTGTTTTTGCTGGTTCTCAACATTTTCTTTTAAATTTTTAATATACTCTAGAAGATTACAATCTTAGCATTTAATATAATTTAAATACAACATACATAAATCTAAGAAAACAGGAACTTAGGAATGCTTTGCTGTGAAAGAATGCATTAAAAATCTTCATACATCTTATGTACTAATACAGAATACACTTATGGCATTCATTTAGAAAATGGAAGAAAGATATAATAAAAAATAGCATTGCTGTGAAAAAAAATTCACTTTGCATGTTCACAGTTTATCATACTAAAAAAAAAACTAGTAAAATGGAATGGGATGATCACTTACTATTCCTTAAAAAATATGGTGCACATTACACTAATTTCCATAAAAAGTTATCAGTAATGTTAAGGAAGGAAGGGAAGAGTATAAAAAATATTTCAAGGTTAAATAACAAGAAGTTCTGAAGATACAGAACACAAGAAATGCAAAAATATCACAGATATATGTCATATGGCCCTTATATAGTACCTTAACTAAAAACTTACCGGACAAAAATTTTTAAATCAAATTCCATAATTAACCAGAATTTTCCCCCTATCTACAAACAATAAACGAGCAAAACAAAACAAAACAAAACAAAACAAATATGAAACACAGCATATATAAAAATTACCCATTTCTTATAATTCACAGAAAAAAAGCTATATAGAGAAATGACTCAAAGAAAAAAACATACTAGAAAATATAAAATCATGCAACGGCATAACAGCAAATCTAATATACAACTGTATTATGATCAGTGTCTTTAAATACAAATACTCAAAAGCATCTGAAAGCAACTATAAAATTTTCATTTATTGAAGTACCTGATTATCAAAATTTTAAAATAAAGGGCCACTTCTGGAAAACATTTTACAGGTTACTCTTATTTTCATATTTCTTTGTTATCATATGAATGTACAAAAATCACATATAAAAGAAAATATTTACAAGAAAATATTTTTTGGTAAGGCAAGAACATGGCAAATTCAGTAACTTATAACTGACAATAGTAAAAAAAGAAAATGAGTTTGCAAAATTTCATCTAAATTACTGGGTACAGAAAGTACAGTGATAATGCAAAAAAGAAACTACATAAAAGAACATTTTTGAACTTAAAAATACTGGTATAAAAATACACATAAATGTTATGTTTTTATGTTTCAATTAAAATTAATTAATATTCATCAGAACACAAAATTAATATTCATCGATATTGCTTTTTAGAATACGTTTAATGAACTCTACAAATAAATAAGGAATTATTTTAAATTATACTTCATATGTTTATAATAAATATATAGAATTCTTGAATACACTGTTGCAAATACTTTATAATTAAAATTTTATAAAAGTTTAAAAACTAAACATGAAAAAAAAGTTGAATTTTTGATGAGCAATAAGCATTTTTTTAAAGCAGTATGTTAAAAAAAAAGGCTTTTAAATTAGAGAAAAAATTGTGTAACAGATTATTAATTTTGAATGACATAATCTTGTTTCTTATGATTAACTGCAAAATAAATTATAATTTTTACTTTACCACATAAAATCTAAGGCAACTGATTTGCAATGTTCCATCAAATCAAATAGAAGAGCACCTGAAGTGACAGTTAAGTTTACATAACTTACATGTCTTGCAACTTACATGTTACTGGTATCTTCATATGCCAACTAATCATCATATTAAGATAAGTACAATATACACAAAGAGAAGCTTTTCAACATATTCTGTTAAATGACCTTCAGCTGGTTAAATATTTGCACATTGAGTCTAATAAAGGTCTCACTAGTCAAAGTGTGCAAATTTTATAATTGCAACCTTTGCCAAATGTATTAAAACTGTCAGCTTTTACAAACATCATTTACACTGTATTGTGAACCTGAGATAACTAACTTTTGATCAAAGCATTTCGAGCAGACTTCAGCTTGTCAATGCGTTTCTGAAGATGAGTATTTGAAGTCTCCAGTTCTTCTATTCGTGACTGAGCTTCTCTTAGCTTTAAAAACAAAAAGAAATGAAAACTTTTAAAAATAAATTTATTGATTAAATTTTTTCTTTTGATTTAGGGTTAATTTTTAAAACAGGCAGATCATTCATAACACAATTCTACAATCTAAATTATTTAACATATTAAATTGACAAAATGCAAATTTTTACAAATACCAAATATTTAAGAAAAAGGAAGATAAAAACAAAGTCACAACCTGAAGTTATAATTTCAATATACAATTTTAACTATACTTTTATCAGTCATTATGTCAGTTCTATCTTTAGAATTACACTGATGAATTCATAATTTAAAAAATGTATTATACTTAACAAATAAATTACTTATAATGATTCTAAAAACAAATGAACAACAAAATATGACAGAAAGTTTAAATATTATAATTTGTAATTCCAAGCAGACATTCATAATAAATATGATTTTGTTATAAATTCATATCAATTTACTTTTAGTTTTTTTACTTCCAACATAAAATTTCTATAGCATCATTACTGAAATTAAATTTGTGTTTATAAAAACATGAAACTACTTTATCTTAGCAGGATTTTTTAATTCAAATATTTTTTATCAAATTATTTTATTTTCTTATTCAAATGCTTTCTATTAAAACTTGAATAATTTCAAAAATTTCAGTCCTGATTAAAAGTGAAATGTTGTTAAATACATGCATTATCTGTTCATGTTTGTTGTTTTTAAATGAGTTTTGTATATTTAATAAAATCCTTTTGTATTAATTTTGTTTCATTTTATTTTTATGGATATGACTCTATTGTATGCTTTTAAAAAATTAGACAATATAACAGTCACTGATTATTTAAATAGTATGAAAAATAATTTTTATATCTAAATAAGTTTATATTTGAACCGTATTACATAAATTTGACATGTAAATTAGTTATTGCATCTAAATAAGTTTATGCAGAATGCATATATTTTTATGTAATAGAGTTAATGGACGGCTTCTACCATGGTAATGTCAAAGACCTTTATGGTTTTGTCAAAAATGCTCAGTTGAAATGATTTGTGATTTGCGATTTGATCGCGAGGAAATGAGCAGCTTGTTCTGTCATTTACAAATCAACCTGTTTGCATATGCAATGTTAGTCACACTCTGTGTGGCTACTATGAAAAAGAAAGTGTAGTGATATTTGTGGAAATAATTAAGTTGTTTTCATCCATGATTATTGTGATGTAACAATTTTTGTTTAATTAATACGTTTTTTCAATTTTCTATAACTTATTCAGAACACAAGTTGAGGCCACCCTACTGGTGAAGCCTAGGAATTTTTCTTAGAGAACAAGGTTCATGGCGAGTTAGTTGTCTCATCTTATTTGTTTTTACTTTCCCTCCCACCACCAGTCATCATCTTGTGTTAGTTTAAAGTTAAGGTATAGTTCATAGGTTAGGATATTCAAATACTTAAAATCAAGAAACATTTCATACTTCTCTGAGGACTTTTCGTTTTTCAGCTTTTAAATCATCTTCCGTTTTCTCAGCATTTTCTGTTGCAGCTTTATACCTAGCAACCTGACTTTCTAATCTGGAAATCTGAAAACATTTTTCATTAAAAAAAATCTCTTAAACATTAGAACAATGGTCTAAAACTCAAGCTGCATGCATGCTGAATGCAGCTGACAGGCCAGACTGTTTTTTTTTTTTAAAGAATGAAAATTTTTATTAACACAATAAAAATATTTGAAATAAATTTCAAATTCTGCTTATTAAATTTTATCAAAACATACATAAACAATAATAATAACGCAAAGGAAAAAAATCAATTTTATATTCATTTTTTACTTGATAACTAAAGTTTGATTTGATAAAGTTTGATAAAGACATTTTTGTTACATATGCTTTGTATTGGGTAGACAAGAAAGTAATTTCAGTTTATTGTGTTAAACAAAACTCAATTTTTCTATATAAAAAATGAATTTTAATCAGTCAAATATCATCTATTCTGTTCAATGACATTCTGCCATCTTCCTGGTAACTTCATAATTGTGTACTCTTAGAACTTCTGGTCTTTATCAGCAAAAAAACTCAACCAAGTGAACCAAGGTCATCGTTATTACTGAAATTTTTAACATTTAAGAAGCTTTGTAAACTTTGAAATAAATGATAATCCTATGGTGCAAGGTTGGGTCTGCATTGGGGATGTGACATCAATTCCTAACCAAGCTCAAATAATTTTGTACATGTTGCTAAATATGTGTGAAGCCTCGCATTGTCGTGGCGGGACATGATTCCTTTGCAATTTGCCAATTCTGGCCTTTTCTCTTCGATTGCTTCCTTCAATTTCATAAGTTGTTGGCAGTAAACATCTGAGTCAATCATTAGGTTGCTTGGAAGCAGCTCAAACTACACAATACCTTTGTACTCCCTCCTATTTAGCTTTCAACATGATTTGTGTTGATTCATCATGCTCATACCATGGGAAATTATTTTGATTAATTGATAGATGGTGCTAGCGTAGCGTATGAAACACGATGTGCTTTCTGAATTTCCATAGACTCTACACCGGCAGCTCGATGGATGGATGTTTGTTGCTTTGCACACTATTTGATTAGAAACACTTCGGTTCCTATTTGAAAGATTTCTATTGCGAAAGCACATAGATTTGTTTGAATACTGAACCACCGAATACTATGATTGATGATTTGTTTCAAAGTGTTTGATGTTCATTTATAGCAATCTTAGATTATTTTGAAACATACCATGATGTTTTTCAATTAGTGTTATTATACACCATCCATTTTTCATCCCCAGTGATAATTCTTTTTAAAAAATCTGATGTGTACAACACATCTTCCTTGTACGGAATATTAAATTATACACATTTTTTTTCTGTATTTCATTGAAACTTATTGAATTGAATTAAATCTACTTCGCTGATAATGCATAAACCACAATAGAATAAATGAACTTTTTAAAATTCACTATATTTACTTACCATAGCAATACTCTGGTGCTAAGTTCACTTAACAGCATTACATCTCATTCACTTTATAACTCAAAACGCAAAAAAATTATATCATCTGAAGTATTATCTAATTGTTGCCACATGTTCTATTCAAATATTATAATAAATCTAAAATGATGTACAAAAGAAATTAAATAAAAAATAAACAGTTTTTTCACAGACGATTCAGCGCTGCTTACCTAATATGCATGCGCTACTCATAAACATTCTCCTCTGTCCAAAACAGACCGACTACAGTATTTTCTGCTAATATGAAACACTTATTTACTCGAATTTCATTAGAGATGTATTTCTCATTCAATTAATTCAATTCTCACTTCGCAGTAAGGCAAAAATAATAAAAACACAAAATATCTTCATTAAAAATTAAAGACATAGAAAACCATAAAATACCAAATAGGGTTAAAGAAATCTTTTAAAAAAAAAATTACAGTTTTTACGCAAAAACAAGCAATTTGGCTAGCGGGCAAGAAGGTAGAATTTTTGGCACACAAAACTGAAAGTTTACTTTTGGTCTCACACGGCAAAAAGACAGTGATAGAAACTGATATAATTTGTTGAGGATGCTATGGTGAGTCAATATATGGAGTTATTTAATAACTTAAATGATAATTCCAGAATGATTTACACATAATTTAATTCATAATAATAAAAGAAGACGTTACTTTGTTGTTGTAAAGCTTAGTTCCTCTAGATTGGGAACAAATACACTATTCTGCTAAGTTTGAAATGTAAACAAATACGGCTGCTATGACAAAAAAAAGTTAGGTTTAGCCACACTTAAACAACTTTTAAAAATTGTTGATAATTCTAAAACTATAACATACAGATTAACTAAAGGCATAAAAACCTTAACCGGAAGATAAGAACATTATAATTCAATCATTTAAAGCAAAAAATGCACAATTTACAAACATATAAGAATAAAGAAACTGGACTCGCTGAGCCGAGTAACAGAGTGGATATATATAAACACATATATTTATATACTTTTGGTGCGGCCGATTGCAACTAAAAAGGGAGGTGCACATCTACATGTTATAGCAGTTCTATATACAAAAATTCAACTTTCTGAGGCTATTCGTTTTTGAGTTATGCGATGTATGTACATACAGATGCCATGAAAAAAATTTCTTTATAATCCATTTTAAAATCGTTTTATAATTTTTCTGGGAAAAAAAGAGTCCTTTATTCTGTCCTTACGTACAGATGTCATGCAAAACCATAGTTAAATTGCATTCGATAGCAGTCAAAATGGTTATTTTCGTCGAAATACGATACCTGAAACTTTTCGCAATTACAATAATTGTTTTTTACTTTGTACAGGGAAGTAAAAAGGGTCGACTGCATTATGTTTGAAATTCGCATCGCATACATTGATTTTTCATGTTAAGCGAATTTCTTTCAATTTATACGAAACCTAAATATCAAGCTTCTTAACGAGTCCATTTTATGCGATTTTCAATTCCTGTATGTGATAAAATTAACCTTTTTGCAATCTCCTGCACAGTTATATGTCGATTCAATTCAATTATGGCTTTAATTTTGTTGTCATCAACTTGAGAAGGTCGACCAGAACACTGATCATGTTCAAGAGAAAAATCTCCAAAATGAAATTTTTTAAACCAATTTTGAAACAGGTGCTCTATTAAGTAATCAACACCATAAACTTCCCATATCTCTCTGTGAACCTCAGCTGATTTCTTGATGAAAATAAAAAATAAAAATGTTTATTTTTGCATCTTATGTTAACCCTTTGAGAGTGTGCCCGGTCTGGGCACACCTAAAAATTTCCTTCTATACGCACAGAAAAATTGAATGAAAAAGGATTTAGAGGTTACTATAGGTTACTCTGAACCTTCTTTATTTATAGTAGATGGCAGCTCAACACAAACCAGTTCATATATTTTAGCCACATTTAGTGCTTTAAGACCCTCATTTTTCAAAGAAATCCTTCAGATTTTTATTTATTTATTTATTTATTTTAGGGTATAAAAGGAATTGTTTGAAAAGAAATTTCTATGTTATTTTTTTGGCTGTAAGATAATCTCCTTATTCTATATTAGTTTTAAATTTTTACCTTGAAATCTTGCCTAAAATCGAACGGCGAACCCGAGGTGTTCCCAGACCGGGCACAACTGATAGACTGTATTCTTTGTTTCTCCGCATCTCAGTCTCATTTCCTGTTTTTCTTTTTTTCCCCCCTCTTTCTCTTTTTTTTTTTGGGGGGGGGAGGGGACATTTCGTTATTAACTAATAAATTGTTGGGGTGATTTTCTGAAGGTCAAGAGTAATTTTATCAGTTAGCTGTTTGGTTTTTCTCTACAGCAGTTCTCTTTTTCTCATTCGCTTTCGTTCAAAGTTTCGCTAGCGCTATGTTTAGTAGTTTTGAGTTCTAGACGTTTATTTAATTTTATTTTATAGCTTATAATTTCTAATTGTACATATAATATTAGTTTATTTTTACAGATTTTTAATTATTTTGCAAACGGATTTAAGGGGGCTGACCATTTCTGAAGTACTGAAAGTGCTTCACGAATTGCTTCAAATAGTGAATCTGATATGGAGCCCGGTACATGTGCAAAACATACAATATTGGGTTGTGCTTTTTCAAAGGTGGCACTTCGAAAAGTACCACTATGAAAAAAATAGACTAGAGTGTAAATATGAAATGTAAATAATGTAAATATCATATACCCAAGTTACTTTTTTTTCCCATTCATACGCATGTAATCATCATATAACCAAAAAAGAGCTTTTAGGGGTGCGTGTAGAGTAGCAGGTCTCCCGGTGGCACACCCTAGGTAATGCTAAATCTGCTACGGTATTCAGAATCTAGTGTTTTTAAATCGTAGGCAAATTCTCTTACATTTTTACGCACTTCCCAGCAATGCTTGTTTCAGCACTCTTTTTGAAGCTCTATTCAATCAGTGTGCCTGCACCGGGCACACCCACAGAATTAAAATGTTAAGTGCTATCTTCACAAAATTTTACTTGTGTACTCCTCTAGGCCTAATTAGACTGCCTACTTTTTCTTAAAATCAAAATTTCAACTTTAAAATGTAGCATGCCATAAAGGGTTAAAACCGACCCTAAACTAACAGTTGAAACAAAAATATACAGAACCTTTTTTACACACCTAAGTGCCAGCTGCTACAACTTAAAAGAAAAAAATTATACAATTTGACGAAAAAATAACAAAACAAAAATGACACAATTATTTGTGGAAACTGAAATTACTTTCTTGACAACCTAATAATTCAAATATACTGACAGCTAAATATTAAATTCTTAGACTGACATTTATTTCAAACACTTCTAACATGTTTAGTTAACTACTAAATAATTTACTTCAATTTAAACTAAAACCATTTCAATTAATTTTTAGAGAAAACTTTACAAGTGGAATGAAAGTGAATGAATAATGAAAACCTTGACTACTTCTTTTATTTTTCCAATCATAAATAAAAAATATGCTAAGATTTCATACCCAAATAATTATAAACTTTCCTTATCTCCTATTACAGCTTCTCGCTTAATGCATTTTGATTCTGAGAAAGTTTATAGACTTGGACAGAAATTAATAGACATTCTCTTCATCGTGGATTGTTCATGCGTTTCAGGCACTCAAGTTTTTTTCTTATTAATTTTCATTTGTGAAGAACAGCTGTTCACATATAAACATATTCCCAACAAAGCAATTAGTGCAAAAGTTTGTAAATCAGCATATTTATTTTTTGATGAGTATGAATAAAAGTTAAAAATATGTGTATCTTCAAATCTTTGAATAAGATTTATATCACATTTTAAATTAATTAGCTCCATTTACAGACTTTCTGGTATGTTATTCAGGTCCATTTTTACAGGTAATGAAAACAATGTACACTTGGTCTTTAAATAACTAAAATCTTGAAATCTTTGCTCTGTCATATTTACAACAAATGCATACTTGAAATGTATTCAGGGACTGCATGTGGCCTGCATATCACCAGTTTCAGACAATTATATTAAAAGATATTTAAAAGCTATTCATAATTTAAATTTATAATGGGCACTAAATACCTACAAAATAAGTGATTGGACATTAAATTTCAACCTAAAGTTTGTTACTTAAAATACGTTTCTAAAAAAGTCCAGTGAAGGATTAAATAACTTTAAAAATGTAGAACAATTTTGATAAATAGAAAATAGAAAATAATGTCAAAATACAGAATTCAGAATTACTTGAATTTTTCCCACCCATTTTGTGTTTATTAAAAGTTTAATTGTAAATCTAAAATGTAATTTTTCAATTACATAAACTAGCCATAAAATATAAAAATCTTGATTATACTAACTTCTAAAAATATAACGCAGTTAACAGAATTCAGGAAAACTGCTCTAAAAAATGTCTCGTATGTAAACAAGGAAATAAATTTCACATGAAAATTCTATTAGATAAAAAATTACATATTTTCAAATTTATTTCATTAATGCCATCTTAAACCTTGCACATAAAATCAGTTAATTTTAATTTTTATGTAACCCCTTCATGCCGAAAATTTTCAATTGTAATTTTTACTACATTTATTTTCAATTGTAATTTTTTATTTTTATTTTTTAACCATTCAAATGAGAAAATTAAGAACGAAAATTCCCTTACATTGCTTTGTAAAGTAGTTATTTCTTGTTCTGCTTTTTTCAATCTAAATTTGTAATCACTAACTTGTTTGTTAGCTTCCCCTAAAAAAAGAAAAGATTATTATTATTTTTTTAAAGTGCATCAATAAAAAATGTAATGAAGTTGAACACAGATAAATTCATTATGAAATCCTGAATTATTTCAAAACATCTTAAAGCAAATTACACATTCTCCCACACATCATGAAAACACTTTTGAATTCTCTATACATTTACTTGCTATGCATAATTTTTTAATTACCTATACAGATGAACAAACAGTCACAGAATGATAATATGATATACTTTACACTCGATGGTTTCTATTTTACTCTAAATCATAAATATTCATATGCCGTCACAGGTAATAAAAATTTTATGGGTGAGAAGCAAATATAACAAATATAACACTGATTTTTCTTTAAACATTCACAAAAGTTCAAATTAAGACAACTGCTTATACATGCTTGTATATTCAGAAAAATTGTGAATTATCTTATCTAAAATGAGCAATACTTTCCTGGTTAAAAAGTTTTAAATCTGCCTCTTTTTTTTTTTTTTTTTTTTTTTTTTTAAACATTGCAAAGCAACTCTGTTCTGAATTTTGTGGAGAGTTATACATATGAAGTGTTTGAAATGATAAGTAAGAAATGTTGCTGCTAGATAATGACAGACTTCAATATGTGGTCACAACAAGTAAAAATACTTAAAAAAATATCTCTATGACTAATATAAGTCATGGTTGAATTTGTGATGAACAAAACATCATGATTCTTGTCTAGAACCACAATGAAACAACTGCAATATTACAATATGGATGCACTGATTAAGCGTTGAGTAATGCTTCAGTGTTTCAGAGATAATGATCACATGAGTGATTGACAAATCACATTTTGGCAGGTTATATGCTGATTACTAAGGATTATATATAAGGCACATCCATAGGCAGATAGTGAACAGTGACTTTGCACTGTGACACAGGAAAAATGACTGACTCTGACTCCCTCATATATCTATATGTAAACATATATGCATAAGTTATAGCTTATTTTTTTTTAATATAAAAGAAGTACTAGATGCTACACACACACACAAGTTTTGATTGATGGCATAGCAAATTATTTATATTAATTAGCATTTATTATGAAATGGAAAAACTGGCATTACTTATTTCTAAGAAACAGTATAGCTTTGGCAAGATCTTCTTTGTCGGAAGACCATAGATCCGATTTGATAAACTTCAGAGCTGAGAAGAGTCTCCACACCAACTTGAGTATATATGCATTTCATATAATCTTAGAGCTCTTACTGTTAAGGCTACTTCTTTTAACTTTCCAGGATAGATTTTTATAAGTTCTAAAAGAGGTGTCTTGCAAGAGCAATCATATTTCTCTATTTCTTCAGAAGCCATGCAGAAATCTTGTTTGCAATTTTTCATTTTTATATCTAAAGGCTTTTGGTTCTTTATTTTCATTCGCTTTGCCTTAGCCTTTTCAATATTATCAAAAAATATTTCTCAAAATCTAATTCATCACTAGAAGAGGATGACAGAGACTCAGTTGCAATGTCTGCAGTTTGACTGTTCTGATTTGAATACTGCAACTGTTCTGAAAATAATTTCATTCTTATTGAAAGTTCATAGATGACTTTCTTTGTCTTCTTCATTTGTTCGTCATCTAACAAAATCCAGTGTTTTGGATCAACATACATTGAACCCAGCAAGATATCATTGTCTAGCAAACTAGTTCCTCTTTTCTTCATTGAAGAAATGATTCCTTTTGCAATAAACCCACCATTTCAGAAAGAACATACATCACATTCTTCCATTCTTGCCTCCTGTTAATTCTTCAGGTCGTAGTTTTTTTGTGACTATACACGGCGTAGAAAGAAGAGTTTCCAGTTCTGGAAAGATCATTTCACAGTCTTTCTGTTAGTGAAACATTAGGGTTATCTACATCTTTTAAAAAAGTTTTTAATTCTAACAACCTCTATATCATCAAATATGTACTTCCCAATCACACTGCTTGATCAATAATTGCTCCTTTCCCTGCTCGCTTCCTAAGAATGGCATCAATTTTGGGAGTTCTTGCTGCTTACCTAAATTTATCAGAGATTTGTAACTAAATGAACCAGTTTAATCACTAATGACAAATATCACATCCATCCTTCTACCTTATATTTATTTTTTAATACGTCAATAAAATAGAAAATAACTATTTATTAATGTATATAGTTCATAAACAAAAATAATAACTCAAGTTTGTTATTAATTTTTTTTTTTTCAATTCACTTTAATTTCATTTAAAATTCAAACTGTCCAACAAAAACCTGTTTTTAGCAACTCCAGCTCCGATTCATTTTACCCCAAAATGTGCCTAACACCGATTCCAACTCCATAGCCCTGCTGTGACATTTGAATTGAGGGAATTCAGAACATTGAAAAATTGAAAAACCAACTACAAGGAGTTTTTTTTTTTTTTTTTTTCTTTTTCAGATAAGGAAATGGGGAAAAAGTCATGTCTACTATCATGTGTTTTAATTATTTGTGAAACAATATAAAAAGTATAATTCAACATGAAGAAGGCAAATTTGAAAAAGAATCAGTTAGAAGGCCAGTAACGTCATCTGATTCTAAATAAAAGAACTGGATAAAAAACCTTCAGCCAGTCTATGCACAACAAGAATTGTTTTTAAATATGCACTGAATATGGTTATTAACCTATACTTTTGAAAAGAAAATTGTCTTTTTAATTAACATTATCAGAAAAAAAAAAAAAAAAACTATACAAATTTTTTTTTAATGATTTCAGTAAATTTTCAAACTTTTATCAAGATTAAACTTTTTATAATCCTTATTGAATTTTAAAGAAATAAAAATCCTTTAATTTACATTCTTCTATTTTGTTTGTTATGCTATTATTTTTAATATATGCATTTCACATAATCTTAGAAAATATTTATGAACTTACGCTGAACTTCTAAAACTTTTATATCTGGTCCATTCACATGAGGACCATGGTTTGTTGAAGAATTCTCCAATTTAGATAATTTTTGCCTTTCTTCTTCCAAATCTAAACGTAACCTATAGATCTGTAACAATTCATTCAATGTCAGTATTTTTTTATTTTTTTTTTAAAGAGATGTTTTGAAATCAAAACTTCACATGTAGCAATTAAACAAACAAGTAAAGCCTTTTAACTTTCAAAGCTTTGTTAAAATAGCATGTATGCATAAATTCATATACACCACATATTAAAAATACTGCACAAAGCATTTGGAAAAAGTAACATTTATGCAAGAAGCAAACATCAGTATAGAAGATTAATCAAATTTTAAACCTGTAGCATAGCATATGTATTTAACAACTGAAAATTTTTATTCCTATTACTTAAATTTTTCAATGCAAATAATAAATAACAATTTGAAAATGCTTACTTCATCTAAAAGTTCTTGTTTTTCTTCTACAAATTTCTTTAACCTAACATCTGAAAATGAGATTAAAATTCAGTTAAGCATAATTAATTATCAAACCTATAAATGCAGAATATACAAATATATCAATAGAACTGAAGTATATGCTCTTGAAGAATCAGCCAAAATCAATTCAAGTGCTTTCTAAATTCAACTAAAAAATTTATCAGTTAAAAGCTGATATCCTTGAAATATACAGAACAATTCTGTGAATCTAATCTAAAATTGTTTAGTTTTTAGGGTCAAATAAGCATTTTTTTCTTCTCTTTAATGTATGCTGATATATTGCTAATACTCACTGTATGCTAATTTTATATAAATCAAAACCACTCACTGTATCATTATTTACAAAATGCTCAAATTCTGAACTTGATGAGTCTTGAAAATTTCAGGCATACATTTATTTTTAGTTTTAGATGTTAAACAAATGGAGAAAAACATGAATAATGTACTTTTACTTCCAGCATATCTTGCATTTTTCATTAGGACATTAGGGAAAATATATCAGTTTTCAGTAAACTGAAGTTCACCTTCCTGAATAATAAGTACGAATGCAATTCAGATCATCAGTGCATTATTATGTGCATTTTACTCATATAGGTTTAATATCATAAATCATTAATGCATTATTTCTTTTAGAAAGAAACTGTAAACAACTACATAAAAAAAATCTGTTACAAAATTACATCAATAAATTCCCCTGTCATGGTGCAGTGTCTTCAGGGTTAGTTAAAAAAAAAAAAAAAAAAAAAAAAAACATGACTTTTTTAAACATAAAATATTAAAAGTATAAAGTTTCTGAAAAGCCTAAAATTATTTTAATACCTGGCTACTATTTGCAGCTACATCATGCTGAAGAGAATAATCAGGTTTGTTGCTTATGGAAAATATATGCACAGAATGGAATTTTAGGCACAGAAGTTAGCATAATAAGGTTTTTAATCTGAGTATTACGTTTTTTTTTCATGTAACTTACCTAAAGAACCATTTCCCACTTGATCTAAAAGCTGAGCTGAACGTTGAGATATTAAGGCTGCAGAATACTGCTTGCTTTTCTTTCTTCCATTAAGTTTAGGGGAATGTTCTTCACTTATATCACCATTTATAACATTTTCATTCACAAGAACAAGTCCATGTTCCTTTATAAATAAATGGAAAAGAGGAAAAAAAAAAAAAAAAAAAAAAAAATTGAAACAATTTTCTTATACGATTACATTTTTAAAACTGCATAAGTATGATGCAGTCATTTAAGTTCAGTTGCATTAAAGATGGAGTGAATGTACTTGCCTCAGGTAAGAAATAAGAAGCATAAACTTAAAATACATCATATTTTATATTAATCTCAAAGTGATTTAAAGTTATTTAGAGGACAGAATTCTGAGAAATGTTTCAGCACAGAATATCTGTTTGCATAATTCTAGCTATAGTATATATTAAAAGGAACAGCCATAAGAAGTTTTTTGTTGCATTGAATCCCTAGAGAAGGCTGCATCCCTTTTCAAATTGTTGGCACCAAATTTTATAGTTCTGTATCATTTTTAAAGAAACTGGATAATGAAGAATCTGCATAAATGTATGCATGTTTCTTGGACTGTGAAAACACAACAGTACCTAGATGCATCAAATTTTCAATAATGTTGTCTTCTACCTGAACATTGGCATATGAAACCCCAAATTTTGAATTTGTTTTATTATCTATTTCATATTTTGTAAAACTTAAACAAATTTTTGATTAACAGACTTAATGATTTCAAAGCGGGCATTGGCAACACTGCACAGAATAAAACAATTTTATCTTCAGCTTGTGAGACTGCCTCTCAGCAGTTCTAAAGATACACTGTTTTTAAATGATTCATGATTTTGCTGTTGAATTGAATTTTATGTGCCGTAAGCGCCAGGAATGTGATATTTAATAAATAAAGTAAACACACAAAACTTTGATAATAAAAAGACGTAAGAATACTTAATGTTGATATGATGAACTGAGAACAGGCAATTATGCTAACACTTAAGGCTACATAAGGAATTCTAGACACACGTAGGTTTGCTATGTTGGTTTCAAAATTTTTGTAATTTTGCTATTCAACTGTATGTGGCATAAGTGCAAAGAAAATGATGTTTAATAATAAAGCTAAAAACAAATAAGTTAGTAGAAGTGAGTGAAGCAACAGACAGGTACACTTCGAGCTTAGCGACAAAAAACCTTAACAAATCCTTTTGGACAACTGTTACAATCTGAAACCTTTATCAATTTTTTGCCTTACTGTTTCGTTGTATTGATTATTACTTGTTTTATTCAGTCACTCCTCCTTCTCTGCTTATAGAAGGGATGCTGTTGTAGTCACAGATAATTCATTTAATTGCTGGAGTCAAAAATAAATTCATTATTTTTGACTCCAGCATGTGTGTTAAAGGATTGCATATACATCATGAATTTAATTTAATTAAAATATTCATTGATTAAATTAACTATTGGAACCACCAATTTTTCATATTAATAAAAATCAATGGATTATTAAAAGTTAAAAAATTAAAAAATATTACATGTGATTCACCAGCAAAATAAAGAAAATTAGAAAAATAATTAAATGCTCAGCTCTGTTTTCAATACAAGACAATATCATAATCACGGTTGACATTTTCCATTTTATTTATCAATATTTTAAAATATAAAGCTAATAAAATTTGCTAGGTGCATCTTTATTCAAAATAATATTGCTTACCACCACTTCCTCAAAATTGATGTATTGTTTCAAAATAAACTAAGTAATGCAGATGTTGAAAAAAAAGATAAAAAAGTAAATAATCTATTAAAAATAAATTAAAAAAAAAGTCATTCTGAGCTACTTACAATACTACTTCTACTTTACATAACATTAACAGAACTATTCAAGTTGCAAAATAAAGCTCTGCCACAAAAAGTTCATAATTTATACAGACTCGTATAGTGCTCCTAAATCGTTGGAAGCTTTTCCCAACACTCAAAATCCTGTGGTAGTGGATGTTCTCAAGCTTCATATAAACTTAACAATTCGAGGATATGAAGTCCTGTACTGCTGCGTTCCTCGACATGCAGGTATAAAGAGAAATGAGCTCGCAGATATCGCAGCAAAATCTGCTGTCCCTTTTAGAGACATCTGCTGTGTCATCAAGGGTGTGTGTGTATTTAATTATGGCAAAGCACATTAGGGCTATCTGCCTAAGGGGAGGGATGCCTTCATGGAGGACTTTCTAAGGGAAACTGGCTCGTATACACGTTACACATAGGAAAAACCACGAAAACACCCATGCAGCCAGCCCGTTCGCGGGATTCGAACCTCAGACCGAACTACCAGTGTTCAGTGACTTTACCGCTCGGCCGCTGGTGGGCTCGTGTCATCAAGGGAAAGATCCGGATAAAATGGCAGCAAATTTGGAACGTTCAGCTTAACAACAAGTTAAAAAATGTAAAGCCTAGAATTGAGCATTGGGATTTTGCTGGAAATCGTAAGGAGGAAGTTCTTCTGACTCGCCTCAGAATTGGTGACACTAAAGCGACACATAACTACCTTCTGAAAGCTGAAAATGAGCCTATTCGTTTAAACTGTAATGTTTGTGTATCTGTTCATCATATTTTAATAGTCTTCGTCAGAAATATTTTAATAGCTGTGACTTACCTCTCGACCATTTAATCAGAAGAGAGGTCAATTGTAATTAATTTTGTTATTCAAAAGAGACTGGCTTTTATCACCTTATGTAATTTGTTTGATTTAACAAAAAAAGATTGTGTCTTGGATTTTGATGTGTGCTTTTACCTTGTTTTTATACGACTTCATCTTCTGGATTTGGTACATTTGTCCACTTGGTTTTATTTATTGTATTTTAATTTCATCAATTGTAATCATCCCATCTTGTGTTTGGTGCATTTAATCATCTCCGGTTTTGTGCCAATAACCTCTCACTCACTCACTCAAGTTGCAAAATATAATATAGTTATCAGATGTCTAGAAAAATTTTAGTGATACAGTTGTTCAACTAATTTAGCAAATAAGTGCAAACTGTAATCATGCACACTAAGCATTTTCTGTCAGTTGAAGAGGAAGGGAAGGGGATAACTAGTTATTCATAGACACACACAAAGCAACAACAACAACAAAAAGTGTACAGGAATAAGAAGTGCATCCTGAATTTGTTTCATTTTATGATGAATAGGGAAGGGGATATAAAATCAATTATATATAGCATTTTTTTAGTTTTAATGACTGATTTAAGAGCAATAATTCCTGTTGCACTTACCGGAGAAAATTTCAGTTAATGTTTCATAACACAAACACTTTTTAAAAGAACTTATGATCTAAGTTATACTTAATGGAGAGAGAGACATAAAATATTACCTGTATTAATTGGTCCCTCTGTTTTAAGCTTTGAAGCAGACATTCATTTTCTTGTTTAACACTTTTGAAATCTCTTGTTAATAGATCATATACCTAGAGATATAAAGGTACAGATACAATTTACACACGCATATATATATATATATATATATATATATATATATATATTAAAAAAAAACAAAAAACAGTAGCATTATTTAAAAGTCATTTTAAATAATGCTACTGTTTTTTTGTTTTATTTTAATACACAATACAAAAACATAAACAAAAAGTTTTTACTGAAAAGTAAAAGAAAATTGGATACTTAAATAACAAACAGTAAAAAATAAGAAAATTATATTAAATAAAAATATTCCAATCAAAAATGCCTTAATTATGGCAGTAATTTATAAAATTACAACTTTAGCTTGGAAATATAGAAATTTCCAGTTCTCCTCCCCCTGCAATGTTTAAAGCTTATTTGAACAAAGGATAATCAGACTGAAATGTTAACATCCATATAAATTAATACCCAGGCAACATAAATCACTTATTTCTTTTATTATATCATAACTTGATAGAGTACATCAAGATCATATGTCAGAGCAGCTTTTTGATTGTTTTTAATAAGTGGCATTCTCTAACACTTAAACACAATAAAACATATACAGTCATCCCTTGCTAATTCGCATTTCATTTATTGTGGATTGTTCAAAAATATTCATCAAAAATTCAAAATTGAGAAATTATGGTGAGAAAGTTGCTCGCACGCCAGCAGAAGGCAGGGAGTGCCCACACAATTCAAAATCCAAGTCTCTGATTGGCTGGTTAGCATCCCACCATGACTATGAGGGATTTATGCCTGATGCAGCTCACCCCTCCGCCGCAGATAAGGCTGTGAGGCTGGCTCGGTTGGTAGTCACTGAAGGGTTCTCCGACATGACGACAGAAGAAGTGAACACACTAGTCGAGTGCCACTCGAACACCCTAACCAACGAGCGACTCATCGAAATGAGAAAATTGGCAAGTGAGGAAGAAGAGGAGGTAGCTGACGACGATGACAACAACAAAGCTGAAGAACGTAGCCTTGCCTTGGAAAAACTCTGCAACAAAGGGCCCCAGAAATCGACGACAGCATGGTCAAGGACCGTAAGGGCTCTTTTTGATTTTTTGTATGCAATATATCTTTTTGTTCAGAAGAAACGCCGTTAAACAACTTTATACACCTGAAAGCTCTTATTTCGATTTTTAACCCCTTTGGCCTCCTAGGGGCTCCTTTTCAACTTTTGGATAAATTCTAGTTTGCATCTAAAATGGGCCTTAGAAATATTTTCCCTCATTTCACAAACTGTGAAATTTATTTCAAAAACAAACTAACCCTAAATTTCTCTTGCGTTCCTTAGTCTTTCATCTGAAATTAACAAAGACGATAAGAATAAAAGCATGCTTTCAAATCAGCAGTTTTTGTGATTACATTAAGAGATGGATCTTCAGTGCACTTCCATTTCCCGCATTTTTAAGTGAGCTTTCTCTTTGTATGATCTTATCACACCACACAAAGGGAGGAAGGCTTGACTCCCGAATGACAAATCAGTTGTCAATCACCTCCCTTCATTTTCGTTGAATTCTAGGATTTTGGAAAACAAGAAGCAAAGGGCGTCTTTTGGGGACTAACATGCCACATTTAAAGCCTACAATTGTGTAAAATTTTGACTCCAGATGGCAATTTTGAAGTCTTTTTCTTGGGAAAGGATGAAGTGCTTAAGTTAAAATTTTAGCTAAATAGAGACGAATGAAACTTGCGCAAAGTAAAAAAAGAATAAAAAGAAACAAATATACTTGTATTCAGTCCTAGTGCAGGGTCAGTAAACACCCCATCCCTTCATGAACATAATACTGAATCCTAAACAGCTAGTAAATTAATCATAAACAAATTGTTACATCATAAACTATTATAAAGAAATGCTGTCATCTCTCACAGTAGAGAAGGAGAAGCCTAGTGCTGCTATCTATTGGCAAGGTACTCTCAGTAGGGGTGCCAGTATATACTATATACCGGTATTAAAAACGTATACATAATCTTCTTTTAATTATCAGTTTTGATTGAAATGCAGTAAATATAAAAGGTTCAGCATGTGTACGTCATAAATTTGCAGATTTTGAATTTTTTCTTTCCCTCCAATAGAATTTATCAATCTTCAAACATGATACTTTGGAACGAGGTATATTAATATCATAACTGCAAAATATTGAGCATTCATAGGGTGGCCATTTAGAATCGAAAGGAAACACTAGAAACTTACGATTATAGCTTTTGGTGTAGAGAAATTATAATTTTTTCTGAGGTTAAAAAATTGACAAACAACTGGTATATATTACATATCGGTGCTCTTCAAAGGGTTAAAACTTATTTGAACAATGATTTAAATAAAGATAATCAGACTGAAATGTTAATCATTCATATAAATTAATACCCAGGCAACATAAATCACTTATTTTTTTATTATATCATAACTTGATAGAGTACATCAAGAACATATGTCAGAGCAGCTTTTTGATTGTTTTTAATAAGTAGCATCCTCTAACACTTAAACACAATAAAACATATACAGTCATCCCTCGCTAATTCGCAGTTCATTTATCGTGGATTGTTCAAAAATATTCATCAAAAATTCAAAATTGAGAAATTATGGCGAGAAAGTTGCTTGCACACCAGCAGAAAGGCAGGGAGTGCCCACACAATTCAAAATTCAAGTCTCTGATTGGCTGGCTAGCATCCCGCCATGACTATGAGGGATTTACACCTGATGCAGCTCACCGCTCCGCTGTAGATAAGGCTGTGAGGCTGGCTTGGTTGGTAGTCACTGAAGGGTTCTCCGACATGACAACAGAAGACGTGAACACACTAGTTGAGTGCCACTCGAACCCCCAAACCGGCGACCGACTCGCCGAAATGAAAAAATCGGCAAGTGAGGAAGAAGAGGAAGTAGCTGACGACGATGACAACAACAAAGCTGAAGACTGTAGCCTTGCCTTGGGAAAACTGCAAGAGCTCTGCAACAAAGGGCCCCAGAAATCAACGACAGCATGGTCAGAGCCATAGAATTCAGTAACCGTATTGACAGTACAATGGCATTGTACAAGGGCATCTTTGTTCAGAAGAAAAAACAATGGTCACAACTCCCCATCACGATGTTCCTTGTTCATTGAAAACGTTCTGCAGAAGCTCCTCCTGCTGCATCTACGCCGCCTCTTACAGCAGCTCTAACCGAAGCTGCCCACAATGATCCAGTGCCTCTAGCACCTGACGATGAGGCGTCATCTGAGGAGCAGTAATGCTCTCATTAACCTATGCAGTAAATCATCTTCACCTCTATTGTACTGCATAGATGTTTCATCAACATTTATAATGAGCAAGTGAAGAGAAGCTATTATCAGAGGTGAGTTACTAACTTGTCATAAAAGAAAATTTTTATAAGAATAAAAGAGTTCTAAAAACATATTTACAGTATGTACACTTTAGTTACATCTACGTATGTTACATACACGCGCATATCATATTTATATTATTTATACATTATTTTATGTATGTTACTTATACTATTAATATTTTATTTACATGTTTGAAGGGTTCTTTAATGTTCTAATTATAACATATGCACTTATATGGTTTCATATACACTTATTGATAATATACATACACAAAAAATGTACATATGTTAAAAATGAAAGGGTGACACTACTTCGCGGTTTTTCACGTAATCGCAGCCAGTTCTGGTCCCTATTAACCGCGATATCTGAGGAATAACTATACTTTTATATATTACACAAATGAATACTTGCTTTTCCTATGAAGCACATAAAATATCATTAAGATAAAGCATTAATAAACTCAAATCACTAAAAACAGACATAAAGAAATTAATCATTATGTATGAAAAATTTTAATTAACATGAAATGTATTTTAATATGTAATAAACATTTACTTTCTATTATTTATATCTAAAAAAATACAGTGCATATCAAAAGCTAATACAGAATCCATAATGGAAATATTACATCTAAAATGGTACTCACCCGCTTTTTTTCCCTATATTCTTTTTGGATTTGGTTTAAATTTTCTTGCATCTCTTCAATTTCATCTTTCAATGTCTCAACTTGATAAATATAAGCTGATTTTTCATTATCTAACTGAGCATTATTTATCATAGCTTTACGAAATTTCTCTTCCAGATCAGCTAGCTGGAGCTAAAAAATTTAAATACAAAATTTCTAATGAGCTGGCTAAACAAGTAAAAATAATATATAACATTCATAATATTAAAATTTGGTGATTTCACTACCTTTATTTAAAAATTAAAATCGCCTAGATTGAAGATTAGAATTAATAATCATAACAGAAATTAAATGACATAATTTCTTTATAATCATATAACATAATAATTCAAATGGCAAATTTGCTGATTTCAGTATTGCATTTAAATCTAGTATTAGCATTTCACGATATGAAACCAATGTTAATTTAAAGATAAAGGTATTATTATTGCAAATGCAGATACTTCATTTATGGAAGATGTTGAAGTGTAAATTTTATGGATGCTAAATTACTTATTGAAACTTCTATTTATAACTTGAGGCTTTTTATGCCTTACATCATGTACACAACAACTGTTGTGACAAGGAAATATACTAACTAATCAAGATTGCTGGTATCTTACTTAAATTAAGATAGAGGTACATCTTTATAAGCACAAAAATTAAATTTTTATATGTATAGTTGTGCCCTTGTATCTGCTGAATCAGCATTCATGATTTCATTGATCTTCAGAGGAGCAAAGGAGGGAAAATGTTGCCAGTTTGAAGCTACCAGAAAAAGTTATGAAACGTAAATAAGATGACAACATTCCTACCATAGCCAAAATACAGCAGCTCAAGCACCACATGCTGATACAGTGTTTCTAAGCATCTACATGCTCAATTTAGCTGATGTAACTTAATACAAGGGTACAGTGTTTTTAAGGATTTGCATGTTCATTTTAGCTGATGTAACTTAATACAAGGAAACAAAATGCTGAAATTTCATTGTAGAACCTTAAATTTTATTTTCCGGTTACAGTAAATTTGACAGAAGGAATATTTGACAATTTCTACTACCATACTTCTAACAAGGTCATTTTTAGGAAGAAAGCAATTTAGCTAATAACAGATGATACAGAACAAAGTAACCAAGTTCCATAACAGTACAAAATATTAAAATCTGAATGAATCAAGTTCACAATTTACATAAATTATTATAGATATGACATCGGATGCTTCATATTTTTAATAGGTATTCTTCAAAACTGGTAATATACTTGGTCAAGAATTTAATGTATATAAAAATTATTATTGTTTAGAACTCTGTTTGCACTAACCTTTAAGTCTCTTCCACTTAAACATGCTCTTAGTTCTCTCAGATCAAGATTATCTGTTGAATCTTCACTGCTTCTTCGAGAACTAGTATAAGATGATGCTCCAGAAATATAGGAAGGAGTTCTTACCTGTGGAAGTATTTTTTATTTGTATTATTAGATTGAAATGGATGAATAGAGTTGCAATACAGTATTGATGACTGATGATATACAATTACACTAATTTTAAAAGGGTCTGCACACATTTCTATACATGGAAGCAAAGAACTTTTACCCTGGGTGCACTTGCACCTATAAAAACCCGAGCTGTCTGCTTTTGTTGTTTACATCAATATCTTTTGTTAGTAGTAGGCTAAAATTCTAGTAACTAAATTGGAGGTCACATTCTTAACCTTTTGACAAGCAAAGGTGTATATGTAAAACCTGTATATTTTTATGACATCTTCAAGAAAGTATATGTATATGTGGATCTTGAAATAAGTATATGTATATGTGGATCTTGAAATATGTTCAAGAAATTAAGGCAATACATAAACTTTATGCCTCTTGTACCTAAAAGTACATAAATATAGGTATTTTGTAGTTTATTTACCAGAGAGATTTTGGCACTAAAATCAAGAAAATAATTCTAAACAGTTTTCTCGGAAATGATTTCAACAGGTATGTCCTACTTGTGCGAGTTCCTAATTTGATTTTAATTCCTCATTTTACTTTATTGTTTAACATGGTGCTGTATCTTAGTATGGTGATGAAATGCAAAGATCAAAGAATCTTTTAGAAAGCGTTTTGAGTGATGGCAAGTCCTTTATTGAAAAAGTTTATGATGAAGAATATTTTAGTGACCACAATTCTATACACAAAATAAGACAGATGTTGAAATAAAGATGAATCTTCAGTCTCTGAAACAATATTTTGCTGTGAATCCTTTAAATTGTCAATTTTCAATGTTTTTAGTAACACAGAAATCAATTTTGCAATCACAAATATTAAAGAACAGAAAAGAAAGAAAAAAAAAAATGTGTCAAGAAAAAGACACTGAGAGATCAAAAGTACAAAATGTATTTCCTTATTATTATAGCCCCCATTATTTAAAAGGTCCCAGAAGTTCTCTTGTCCATGAATTGTGCCAGTGTGGAAATCTTTCTTGGAGCTCATCATAAACCATTACAAAACAGCACCCAGTCCTAACTACAATTCCTTACAATCCATCCATCACGAGAATAGTTCTGAACTGTTCTTATCAAGAGAACTGTTTCTTTGGCAGAGACAATTAACAAGAAGGCTTTTAGTGCCGTTTAAATAATGGGGGCATAATAATACAGAAGTACAACAGAAAATTTGAATAAATTTGCTTTCACTGCTTTTCTGAAAATTCTCCAAACATAAAAGAATTTATTGCAATCTACCTGTAAAACACACTTATTCTGTATCATTAATACATTTTCATTCTATTAAGAAATTTTCAGATTTTTAGCCACTGATATATCTTCCAACTTCATAAGAATAAAATCAGGAAACTTTTTTTTGGGGCGGGGACACAAAATGTATTTTACAAAGGAAAATACCTCATACCTAAAAATTTTGATAGAATTACAGCAGGAAAAATGCTTACAGAATTAGATAAATGAAATTAATTTTAACATAATTATTGTAGCATTTTTCTTTCCCTAAAAATTATTCTGAAATTTTACTTCACAGGATTAATTATCTTGTTAAGTTTCACTATCAAAATATTTGAAAATCACCAAAAATGAAAATTAAAGGTGCTTTAAAACATGACAGAAGGAAATATTCTAATGTTATTATTCTAAAGAATACAATTTAAAGTGTCTTTACTTTAATTCAGTATTACCTTAACAACATTATTATATTCCTTAAAATTTGTCATTAAATTTACAAACAACCAGATCAAAATTTCTGTGGCTTGATGTTAAAATTGTCAAAATATTAAGTCATCAAATCTGGCAATGCACAATACAAGACTTCATACCGCAAAAACAAGAAAAGTTGTTTTGGGTTCACAATGAATGATGTGATCAGTATGAATTTAAACATTAATCCAAATATCTGCTAAATGCATATGCTTTCAACACAAATCACTGCACTAATTGCCAAACTACCACAATTTTTAACATTTAAGATCTAAAAATAAGAGCAATTTTCATATAAATTACGAAAAAAACTCACAAAAGTTGACAAATATGCATTAATTGTGAGTATATAAATCTTGCTAGAATCTATTTATGATAGGAAAATTGTCTTAAACTCCCCCCTCCCCCCTATACTTGACTAGCCAGTTTTTCTCTAAACAAATGCACTAGATGATCCTCATTATTTTTAAAAGCATTGGGGCTGGGGCAGTTGAACTGTTTTACATACAATATGTTCGCCAGCAACATGGGCATGTTTTTTGATAATTTTAATCGGAAAAATTAAGGTGCATGGTTTACGCGAAACAAAACAATATAGGCCAAGTAAATGCAAGTTGGTGGGCACAAATTATTTCTTTTTGAAGCTATGAAATACACCCAGAAAATATAACTTTATATGGTGCTACTGCACCCACCCTCTCAAATAATAAATCCTGGCCTGGGATTTGTAGAGGATACAACGCCACTAGATATATACATTAATCATCCATTTAAAGCAACATTGAAAGAATGTACATGGAATGGATGCTGCCGGAAATCAAGCACTGACACCAACTGGTCACATCAAGAAGCTCGAAATAATTCAAATCTGTGAACAGATCAAAGCCGCACAGGATGGAATTTCACAAGAACTTATTAAGATCTTCAAAAAGTGCAGAATATTAATAGCATGGACGGAAGTGAGGATTGTGCAGTGTAGGATGATGAGGAAGAAAATAATACTGGCAGTTTGAAAAGCATGAGTGATGACAGCAGCACAGAAGGTGAGGAAGATTTACAATCTATATTGTATTTTCAGACTGAAAAAAGTGGAAAGAAGTGCCATGGTGTAGTAAGTTATCTGCTTTTGTTAGATTACCGGTAGATTTTAAAGGAACACTTGGAACTTTTAAAGCCATATTTAGTGTAGTAATTGTTGCTGACTGAAGCTGTTGTTTAACAAATAAATTTATATAACATTCTTAGATTAGCAGTTTTTCTCTTCTGCCATAGAATTAAATTTTGCAAACTGATTTATTCCTTCTCATTAAATTGTTACTTACTTAGACAGGAGCTGCAGGTGGTAGCTCAGATTTCTTTCCCAATAACCATCAATCGGTATCATCTTTCTTTGTTTCTTTATGCTCGTAATTCAGAAAAGAGGTTTTTTATTTATTTATTTATTTTTGAAAATTAAGCTTGAGTGGGCTTTGTGAAAATAAGTGCATCATATTCGCGAAAATTTTTGTTTCTTTTTTGGTGCATCTAAAAGATTGGGTGCGCGTCTTATTCGGTGGTGTGTGGTATTCGTGAACATACGGTAATACTTGTATACAGCCCTCCCCAGATTTAAGATTGATATTATTGTTGCAGACATTTTCACAACATCTTTCTCCCTTTTTGAAAAAGTGCTATTGATTTACCTTTTATTGTCATAATTGTTACACATACACAAGTACACAAACATGATCAAAGGAAATTAAACAGATGCCAATGGGATATTTGGCTTAGTTTTTAGCAATTAGTTTTTTATTTGGTAATGCAACAAAGAACTACCAAAGAACTCTTCCAATTTTTTTTTTTAAATCATACTTTTGTTGTTATCAAAGCAATTTCAAAAAGTGTGAATGTTATAAATTTTCATTTTTCATATGTCATTATGCTAAAATCTTCAATTACAACTGAAATTATAAAGGTTGTACTACACAGAAAAACATATTTTTTTATATACTCTTTAAAATACAATGGTGAGTAGTTTGAAAGTATAGCAACAAATATCCTTTTTTGGCAATTGCAAAAGGAGGTAGGGCACACTTGAAATAACTCTTTATTTTTCAAATGATAAATTTAAAGTGAGTTCATATTGATAAAGCAATGCATCTTAGGCTAAAATTTCTCTGTTTCACTCAGTTGAAGTACAGTGTGTTGGTGGAAAGTAAATGGAGACCTGCAAACTGGTCACAGATCGTCACTAAATATTAACAATAGGAATTTTTAAAAATTATCAGAGCAAAATTCTATATAATTCATTTAGAAAAATGCTTAACTAAGAATTCAAAACAGCATCACAGTTTGCAGCACTAGCACTAGTGGGAACGTTTACTCACCAATGAAGTATTATAAACAATTATTATTTGACCATAAGATATTTCTCTGTGTCACATTTATTAACCTGTTTCATAGAGCATTCTGTTCTTCCCCATCAACCTTTTCTAATATACAATTTTTATGGTTTACAGATTATAGAGATAAACAGAAAAGCAAAAGACTGCACAAAACAAGATTAATGAATAGAATGCATGCATAATGGTCACATTAGTGATTATATCGTATTCTGTTGCTCATAAGAATAGAGTCACGTAAATAAAACTACTACAACTTTTTTTTTTTTACAGCAAGTACTTACTGGAGAAATATATTTCACTTGTGTTTTTCCCCTACTAATTTACAAACAATTTATCTACTTTATCAGACTCAAAATGTATGTAATAACAAACCTTAGAAATTTAACTAGTAATTGAAATAAATAAATAATTATAATTAAATAAATTAATAATAATTAACTAGTCATTAAAATAAATTAATTAGAATTTATAATTCTAATCACGCAAGGTAATATACAGTAACTACAAGATAAAAATATATCACACAAATTTTACACATTCAAAACGCTCACTTTTTTCTCCCTGGTGCAACATCTTTGAAGAGCAGACAGAAGCTCATGTTCAATTTCTGGTTGCTAATACTCAATTACTAACAAAATATTTAGATTATTATAAACATGTTTAACCCCAAAAATAAAAAAGTGGGTGGTGGAAGGATCAATATAACAATTTTTGACATGTTAATTGTTTAATTATTAATTTTCAGACTGAAATTTTAATTATGAGGAAAGATGCAGTTTAAAAGATGGCAGCAGTGAAAATTCTTCTTTCTTCCCTCCTGATATCATTTCCTACAGTTTAGAAGATTGAATCATTTTTATTAGGGGAAAAAATTATTGGCAACAAATGGAAAACTATATTATAACAAATTCAACAAACTTACACAGATGTTCAACTTAGATGAAAATAATACATAAGTGAATAATCAGTTGGCCTGCTATTATTTTTAAGTTTTGGGGATAATAATGTGTTACTTGCCAACACAAACATAAAAACAATAAAATGCCTGAGAATATAAAAAGCCATTTGCAGAAAAGCATTTTGCAGAAAATACTTGAAAGTTAAACATAAATTTAACATTAAACTTTTTATTTTATTAAATATTTATAATTTTATGGTGCTTGTTCAATTGAAAACTTACTTAACACATTCGCTGCCACTGACGCGCTGGCGCGTCAGCATGGCGCTACCTCCCATGCCGGTGACGCTCTGGGGCGACAATCGAGTATGATAAGTAAACTGCTTTAGTTTTAGTTCGGATTTGGAGGTTGAACGATGAGGTTTTTGTGGCACGTTAGTGAAGCATTATTTTTATAATTTCAGTGCGTGGTTTTTAAATTTTTTTTTGTGCATTTTTAAAAATGGCGGACAGTACAAGTATTGCAGGACCTTCACAGCCTAAGAAAAGGAAAGTAAGTAAAAAACTGACTGATGCCGAAATATTAGAATTACTAGAAAAGAGTGATCTTTCTGATTATGACAGCGTAGACGATGAAGAGTACGGTTGGGATTCTACGAGCGAATCGGAAGGAGATAGTGATGTCGCTGTGGATAACTTAAAAATGTCGGATTCTGACACAGAAGATCAACAATTACCGGTAATTTGACAGATTGACTGGAAAACAGATTCAAGTTGCATGGTAAGTCATACATTTACAAAATCTGAGTCCTTGCTAATACAGCCAACTGAAAGTACTCCTATCGGATATTTTCGCCTTTTCCTCACTGAAGTATTTCTGGAAAAAATAGTCGAAGAAACAAATCGTTACGCGTTAGAAATACAAAATAGCGATAAAACGAAAGAAAAGTCACGAATAACGCTTTGGAAAGATTTAAAAGTGGATGAATTTTTAGTTTTTTTGGGAGCATTCTTGCAAATGGGGACACTAAGAATGAATAGACTTCAGGACTACTGGAAGAAGGACCCATTATTTCATAATGCAGGCATTGCAAATAGCATTAGCCGAAATCGGTTTTTATTAATTTTACGTGCATTACATTTTGCAAAAAATAGTGAACCTGGAGAACCTCAACCTACAGACAGGTTATATAAAATACGCCCTGTTATCGATTTTTTTTTTAACGAAAGAATGTGCGAGATATATTATCCTAATAGAGAACTTTCTTTGGATGAATCTATGGTTCTCTGGCGAGGTAGATTATTGTTTCGCCAATACATAAAGAATAAAAGACATAAGTACGGTATAAAACTTTATATTTTGAGCACATCAAGTGTAATAGTGCAAAAGATTGCCGTGTATACTGGTTTATTAGATGACTATGGAGGGCAAAACCATACACAAAAAATTGTTTTGCATTTACTGAATGAAAAATTAAATGTCGGTCACCATGTTTTCATGGACAATTATTATAATAGCTTTGACTTGGCCAAGTTACTGTTAGATAAAAAGACACACTGCACAGGCACATTGAGAACCACTCGAAAAAACACTCCAAAGAATGTTCAAACTACTAAATTGCGAAAAGGCGATACTATTGAAAGGTGTTGTTAGGGAGTAATGATCGGAAAATGGAAAGATAAGCGTGAAGTGTCTTATATTTCTACGGAATACAAAAATGAAATGGTTGACATTTTAAATAAACTAAATGAAATAAAGCAGAAGCCTCTGCCAATCATCAAATATAATGCGTTTATGTCTGGTGTAGATCGGCAAGATCAAATGCTGTCATATTATCTCTCGGAGAGAAAATCACTACGCTGGTATAAAAAATTGTTCTTTCATACTATTGAAGTAATGCCAATGAATTCACATGCTCTTTATAATAAATATTCCGGAAAAAAAATATCACTTTAGGAGTACCGACTGAACGTTGTAAAATCACTTTTGCCATCAACATACGAACAAAAGCCGACTCCCAAGAATCTCAGACATACTCTTCAGAAAAGAGAACTTGCACCTGGTAAAACCAAAATACAAAGAAAAAGGTGTACATTTTGTTCCTCTCAAGGCAAACGCACGGACACTACGTATGAATGCCGTGACTGTCCCGACAAGCCAGGATATTGCTTGAATTGCTGTGAAATATACCATAAGTGATAATATATTTATGCAGTACTGTTCTACACTGAGATTTTGTTTGTAATAAGTTTAATTTTTTTTTCATTTTCTATTATGTTGTTTATGTATATTATACAATATTTGTTACATTTTATAATCTTACATTTACATTTATACATATTTATGTTTTACTGTTACATTTTATAATTTTTCATAAATTTCACTTCTCTTTATCCAATTAAACGTTTTATTTCTTTTAAACTGTGACTTTATATAATGTGTCAATAATTTCGCAGAAAAATGATGAGACGCGCCAGAGAGTCAGTGGCATACAGATAATAAGTTGAACGTGAGGTGCCACTGACGCTCTAGAGCGTCAGAAATGTTTTTACACTAAACACGAAAATAAAAGGTTTTTCTTTTTTTCTGGCTTTACTATTAAAATATTAGGAACGTTTTTAATCATTAAAACACTTTTTTTAAATTCGGCTTCTGAGGATGGATATATAAATTTTGGTGGCAGCGAATGTGTTAAAAGACAATTTAATAACATAAATATCACACTCAAATCTAAGATAAAATGTATTCTTTGAAATATAACTTACTGCTTCAATAGCAGGACGGCTATTACGAGAAACATCTGTAAGTAGCTCATAATGCCTATCACTTTGTTCATCAGCCTATGATGAATAGGAAAGAAAGGTGTTACTTTTAGCAGAATTATAACATACTTCATTAGAATCAAATCGCAGTCTTACTCACACAATAATATGCACTTTATATATTTATTTACATGCATAAGAATACTTATTTAGATATGCAGTCAAAAGTCTTTAATCCGGACTCGCCGAACAGATTATCCTTTTTTCCGGATTATAGATCATCAGTTTAAATCTGGTAAGATAGCATGCAGAAATTATAAAATTAAAAATATGAAACCGTAATTTATGAAATAAAGAGCAATTATGATCTAAAGGCTATCAAAATTTACAAAAAAAAAATTAATATTTATTTGTTTACTTTATTAAACATTTTTTTCAACATGCGCATGCGTAAAGCATACATTACGCATAGTTGAAATTAGAAAATTGCAACCAGAAAATTATTTGATGTGCATTCGTGATATTTATAATGACGAGGAATTTGATTTAAATCATATCAAAAATGGAGTCCATCAAGAACATAAATAAATAAATATGCCTAATAAAATAAAAACATCTGCCCTGAAGATAAGGATAGTGCTGACAGATCAACAAACAGATTTTGGAATGGTTAGAGAAACAAAGGATATGCCTTTATCCATTCTTTTCAGCAATTCCACTTTTTGTTTGATGGACATCGAAACATGCTTTCGCTTTGGCAGCTCCAGAATCAGAAACTCTTTTTGACAAAATCGAAAGTTCAAGCTTACTTTTATAAAATTGCTCTAACAGTCTGCAAAAAATAACAAGCCGGATCCAATTAGAAGATTAAGGAACAACGCGATCTGCAACATTAATTGAAATAGATAATAAGATAATTTTAGCTTAGCTTATACCATCCGTTATACATTCAATAATGCATGCCTAAAGGTATTATGCACATGCGTAGACACATTATGCGTTTACGCAGGCGCAGAAAGTTTATAGCTTTGAGGTCCGGATTATAGATCATTCCGGATTATGGACGTCCGGATTAAAGACTTTTGACTGTACCAAGTATGGCCAAACTGCAACTAGCAAGCCACGTGTGGCTCTCTGGCTGGTTAACTGCAGCTCATTAACTACATGTAGCTTGTTGGAACTTTTAATAAGACTTTCTTACAGAAAACACAAATTTAATTTCTTAAATTATATTATGTATATAATAATTTAAATGATTTTAAACTGTATACCATATACTTAATGCCAAAGAAAGAAACAACAAACAACAACAAATAATAATAATAATAATAAATAAATAAAATTTTAAAAAAGAGAGAGAGAGAGAAATTCTGCAAATTAATACTGTAATCATGTTACTTTTAGAGCAAGTAAAACTTACTGGAACAACCTAATGATGAATATGAAGGAGATTTAAAAAATAATTCTTAAATTTTTCCCTCACAGATTTACTCAATTTGAAGCAGTTTTCCCTTCTATATAAGGTGTATCAGTACAGCATTGACAAATTTTCAGGAGAGATAGAGTACACCTAGACGATGGGAAATCACATAGGAATGCATGGTTGGAAACACTTTCCTGGTGCGGTAGTGATGACACAAAAGTCAAGAAAGAAAGGACATGAACAGGGCAAGAAAACATGTTTATTATTCGGAGTACAACAAAAACAACATAAAGAGACAATGATCATCATCAAAGAATGTGTTCAAAATTACGACCTGGACTGTGATGCAGGAGCCGCGCATCATGCGTCTTCTATGCAGAGATGTGAAGCCTGCATCACGATCCGGTGTTGTAATTTTGAATACCTTCTTAAATGACGATAGCTGTTTGTTTTTGTTCTTATTAGATTTCTGCTGTACAGTCAAAAATCGTTAATTCGGACACCCAATAATCTGGAATGATCTATAATCCGGACCTCAAAGCTACAAACTTTCTGCCCATGCATCACGTTCATGCATGCGCATAGGCGTTTACGCACGTGCGTAAGACCTTTACGGCTGCGAATATGCATGTGCGCATAATACGTTCACGCATGCGCGTTTAATGTATAACGGACGGTATAAACTAAACTAAAATTATCTTATTCAGTTAGTTGCAGATTGCGTTGTTCCTTAATCTTCGAATTGGATTCGGCTTATTATTTTTTGCAGACTGTTAGAGCAATTTTATAAAAGTAAGCTTGAAGTTTAGATTATGTCAAATAGAATTTCCGATATATATTTACTAATATGTAAAGGATCTACAAAGCGAAAGTATGTTTCGAAGTCCATTAAACAAAATGTGGAATTGCTGCAAAAAATGGATAAAGGCATATCTTTTGTTTATCTAAACTTTTATCCAATGAATTGGAAGTTGATCTGTCAGCACTATCCTTATATTCAGGGCAGATGCTTTTATTTTATTTGGCTTATAATTCCTTATAAATGTAGTATTTCATCTCGATGTACTCTGTCTTTGATATGATTTAAATCAAATTCCTCGTCATTATAATTCGCTTCCGATAGCGAAGAAAGTGACACAGAGGTTATTGAAAACGAAAAAATTTCCATCGACAAATTAGTCGGTATTCTCGACACAGCAATTATAGGACTTGAACAGCGGAACTTTGTAACTGAACAAGAAATTATGTCTGTTTATAGAATTAAAGAGAAAGTATTATCACATAAAACGAAGCAACTTAAACAACTTACATTGAATGAAATGTTTAATAAACTAACTAAATAAATATTAAGCTTTTTTTTGTAAATTTTGATGCCCTTTAGATCATAATTGTTCTTTATTTCATAAATTACAGTTTCATATTTTTAATTTTATAATTTCAGCGTGCCATCTTACCAGATTTAAACTGATGATCTATAATCCGGAATCGCCGAAGTCCCGACGAGTCCGGATTAACGACTTTTGGCTGTACTAAATATAATAAAACATGTTTTGTTTCACTGTTTGCATCCTTCCTTTTTGTGTCATCACTACCAGACCAGGAAAACGTTTCCTACTATGCATTCCTATGTGATTTCCCATCGTCTAGGTGTATTCTATCTCTCCTGAAAGTTTGTCATTGCTGCATTGATACACACTGTATAGTCTCTCTCCTTATCCATGATCCAATGTCTTCAGCAGATCTATCACAAATTTCCCACAGATGCCTATCCTCCCTAAGCTATCATTTTAATACCTTTCTCTGCTCTAATTTCACAACAATTCACAGTAATAATCTGTACAGACACCTTCTTCCCTTATGGATCTCAGTTTGTCATAATCCTTAGTAATTCTAGGCAGAGATTACCACTTACATCACCTATCATTGTGCATTTTGAAATTTTCCAAAAAGGATGATCCACTGGATTGATAGCAACTTCAACTTTGATTAAAGGTTTTTTTTTTTTTTTTTTTTTTTAAATTTATGTTGCTTCAACATTAAGTCTTCATTTCAATGAAGTTGGATTGAGCCATGAGGGACACACCAGGCACATATTTTTCTTTTCTACGAAACTTTTTATCCAAATATGACATACTGATGCTGGCAAAATCCCACTAGCTTTGATATTTTTTTACATATTGCTTAATAAATTTCTTTTGTCCTAACCTATCACAAGTGTCACAATTCTTTCATCTATTGGTGTGTTCAATTTTAGTGGTCTTTGATCATGTTGACACATATTTTATAAGGCAAGTCAACTCAAAACTGCTTATAAATGGAGCGTCAGTTCATGACTCCTGAACTTCGTTACTTAAATAATATAAAGGCAACATTTCCAAATGAATAAGTCAGAATGGATTTATTAGACCCATATCCATGCAATGACAGGGTTCGTAGCCACATTTTAGTTAAAAAAATAAGAACACATTTTAGTTAAAAAAATAACCTATAAGCACTTTTCAAGCACATTTTAAGAAAAAAAATAAGCACCTGTCTAATTACATTATACACAACTGCATTACCTTAAAAGAAAAATTAGACTTGTAATTTAAAATATGAGAAATGCAGTATTTATTAAGAGAGAATGAGCATTACCTCAATCATGGAAAACAATAACCTTTTTTTTTTTTTTTTTTTTTATTTTTAAACAACAGTTCAATTTACAAAACTTGTTTACAATGAGAGAAAAACAAAATATGCAGAACTAAACTATATTACAAGATTTAATGACATAATTTCAGTTCAAAAAAGAGAAAATAAATAATAATAAGCCATATTTATTGTATTCGCTTGGCACCTTATAATAAATACAATTTATTTTTCTACTCATATTAATATTTAAATAATTTAACTTAAATCAAAATTCTGAACATTCCTAAATTTTCACTGTATAACAGTTTTCCCTTAACAGATATTGCAAGCAAAGTAATTTAAGTAAAAAAGAGGAACATTTCTGAAATCAGAAGATGGGAAATTGCTTCATGCAGTCATCCTTTAACAATAAAAGCTTAACTAACCTGAATACTCGGAAACTTTCGAATATTCTGGATAGTCGAGCATAACTGGAAAAAGAGGATCAGGGTAAGGGGTAGATTGTAGCCGTTCTTTAGATTTTTCGGCTAAATAAATGCTTTAGACATTTCGATATGTGAATCGTATAAAAATAGACCAATGGAACTGAAAAATATTCTGCTTAGCAAACACAATAAAGCTCTTTTAAGTGTTCATAAACAAATCTCAGACTGAACATCAAAATTAATTATCTCTGCAAAATATCGCAAACATATTGCACAATACGTGGACCATAATTCTTCCATGCGTGATATTATGCAATCGCAATCAACAGCTCCCGATATTCGGTGAATAAAGAACTAAATAAAGAAAAAGAAAGAGACTTTCTTTCTGGGATGTTTTTCATTCTAATTTTGAACAGACTGCTTAAATTTCCGGAACAGAATCATTCTTCGCTTGAGTTAGTAGACCGTAGATATTTTAGTCCTATTCAATCCATATTGGAAAGTGACAAAAAAAAAAGTCTGTTGCTTGTTTTGCAGCGAACTGTAATGGTTTCAACATTCGAGATTTTGTGGAGAAGGGGAAAACCTCCATACATAAACCCAACCTCCATACTGTATTAGCAAAAAAAAAAATTTTCTTTTTACTATTCGATTACTTTACCTTTATTTAGGCCATTCCGAATATTATTCCTTGAAAAGCGAATCTGTGTTAAAACACACTTATCCATTTTTGGAAGTTTATCTATACTTCAGCAGTTACTGCAACTATATTATCATAAATATCCATACATATGCTCATAATATAAGCATAACGATCATATAATAAAATGTGAATATGAACTGACCCCGCGGAACGAGAATGCAAATCATTAAAATCTCGACAGAAATTCAAACGTGTGTAGTATTTGGGTGGGAGGAAAAGAATACCGAATGCACCAGAATTTTCTACCATTTCGCAATTCTTTGACCAATAGAGAACGACGTGCACCTGTCTGTATTCTGCCGTGCACCAAAGGTTACATTAATGCAGAGAAAGGGGGAAAAGCTATTTCTGAGAATATGATTCAGCATCTGAGGTTCCATATAAGGAAGAAAAGTTGTTTATTTAGTTTCGGCTTTGGTATGGGGAAAAATGCACGTTCATTAAAAAAAAGCACTAAAAGTAAAAAAATAAGCACTAAAAGCAAAAAAATAAGGGCTTTAAAGAAAAAGTAAGCACCTATAAGGGCCTTTATATTTTATTTTCAAATATAAGGACTTATAAGCACTTGTAAGGACCACTACGAACCCTGAATGAAGTCAATAAAAACAGATATTTACTCATTACTGCAGACCATTTCTCTAAGTAGGTAAAAAGAGTCTCCCCAAGAAGAGCCTTGGCTAAAATAGTTGCAGATTCTTTTTTAAATAAATATATTTTAAAATACAGACCTCTATTAAAAGTAATATTGGATACTGGAAAACAGTTTATTACCAAAATACTTAAGAATTATGAGCAGGACTTGGCATAGAACATTTAAAAATGGTTCCTTATCAGCTACAGTCAAACATAGCGGAGGGGGTTAGTGAGAACATAGTTAAAATTATATGTTGCTACATGAAAAACTATTATAAGGGCTGGGATAGCAATGAGTTATCATTTCCCTTAGGGTCAGCTAAGTATGACAAGACAGGAAAGACTCCAGCAGTATTATTCTTAGGTGAGAAACTAGTTATGCCACTGGATAAATTATTCTTTGCGCAGAAGACAGCACCATGATCCAATGTATAATAAACAATCAGAATAAAGATATGGCAAGGGAAAAACAAAAATTGTACTATAACAGAAAAAGGCAAGAAGTGCATTATAAGGTTGGAGACCATGTACTTAACAAAACACTCATTATGTGCTGGGGAAGATAGGGTGGCTAATTTTAGTCCACGATTTCAAAGACCATACATAACTGAAAGAATTCAAGAAATGGTTGTTTACCTAACAGACAGTAGCAAACGTAGACCAAATCAAGCCATATTATGATAGAAATACGATGCAAATATTCATTAAGGGAACGACAGCAAGAAAAATCAGAGCTAGCGAGGAACTGCGGCACAGCACAATGGACTTCGAAAGTGCATGTTCAGGATATGAAAAGATGGGGAACTAACATTATAGATGAGCAACCAAAGAAAATAAGGAAGCAGCCAGAATCTAGAAAGGATAAAAGGCCAAGAAAGAAAGGAGTCCAGTATGCCATGAGAACATTCAAATAATATTCGATGTACACTCAGAGTTCGAGAAAAAGTGTCCTATCTACAAGTATACTGATGTGTTGACACCACAGATTCTTTGCAACAAATGCCCAGCTCAGCAATGCATATGAGACTGCAGAAATTAAAGTCTTCCGGTTCACATGAACTGCTACAGAAAGGCCCAGCGAGAACTTCAAGGCAAAAGAAGTGACCAGCAGACACGAAGAATTCTCAATGTCAAGGAAAGGTAAGGATGGTCTAAGATGGGCCTCAGAAAAGGAAAGCTCTGTCGAAGGAGGAGACTCAGCTCTGAAGAAGGTTCCAATTATGACAAGCCAAAGTTTTCCCCCATTTGGCAAGAGTTCATGAGCAAAAGAATGGAAGATTAGTGAAAAGCAAAAAGGCCTATTCTCCTTATTAAAATCCATTTTTATTTTATGTTTAAAAGTACAAGAGTTGCTATTCTATTTTGAATTTTGCTTAAAGTGAGGTTAAAGCAGTTGTTTAAGTAGTAAGAAGCTAGGAAGTTAAATTGCAGTTACTCATTCATTCGAGTTTAAAAACAGAAGCTATGTTTTGATCTGAAAGACTGGTGTGAGGAAAAGTTATTGAACATATAAAGAAATTCTAAGTAACTTGTGTGTCTTGATGTAAAGTACAGCTGAATGTTCCTAATTTAATGTATGATAAAAGATTCAATTAATGTAGTATGTCTAATGTTTTCGTATAGTAAATGTTAAAAGTACTGTTCAATATATGTAAGTAAATTAAAACTTGGATAGTGTAAGAATTAAAATCATGTAGTGTTAATCAGACATTTAAATGCAAGCTAGCAAATTAAGAGAAATAAAGTTAAAACCAAAAAGCTAGCTGTGTGCATGAGTTGGGTAGGCTCTCGAACCAAAAATAAATTCACGTTCTTGTTGGCACATCAGGTGCAGTTTTGAAAGTAAGGTGTTTCTGAGGTCTAGCGAATCTGAATTTCTAACATATATGTTGTGAGTTAGGTGGCGGAGTTGTGCCACTTATATAAAAGACACCGACTTGATCTTTACTGGCCAGCAGTGGGAAAGTGATTTTATTGATAGATTACATGAGTTGAATAGAAGTTCAGATAATGTTAAATAAAATGTTTAAATAAGAAAAGGTTTAGAAGAAATAATTTAAATTGAGGTAATGTACTATGTTTTGACTTTTTCTGCTAGTCTTTTTCCTTCTTAATATCTGGACGGTTATTCTACGCTACGAGAGTCGACAGCAAGTTGTGGGCCGCCAGATGTCGCTGCTAGTAAAAAACAGGTCTGCCCGACATCCTATATTCTCTGAGTACGGAAATTGTCGAAAGCGCGTGAAAAAGTGTTGCCGCGTCGTCAATCAGGGTTGTGCAGTTGACGTACTAAATAGAGAATGGCTTTGTATGTGATTTCGCCTGCTGATTATTTTCATATTTAAACGAAGAATACGGTTCGCAGATCTCTGAATCGGTGGCCGAATTTATAGAAAATATGTTGATGCTTTTGCTCTGCCAAAAGATGTTTTCATTGCGTATTTCAGATTGCCTAACATTTACAGTTATTTTAATTTGCGATGAACTGAGAGAGTATTTGGAGCCTACATTCAGAAAAAAAAGAACAGAATT